CCAGCTCCAGGTTGAGCTGTTGTTCAGCATCTTAGCTGTGGAGGGCAGTGTCACTGGCCCTCATATGTGGGATCCGAACCTGGGCCCTCTGGCGTCCCAAGCCAGCTCTTAACCAATGCGCCACTCGGCCAGCCCTATGGTTCACTTTTATTCTACCCTGATGATTAAGGAATTTCCAGGCCAGGAATTTAAAATGGTTACAAGGAGCTCTTCTAAGCACCTGGTAGAAGAAAACCCAAATGTTCTCTGGAAAAAAAAAAAGTGCTCTTGTTCTAGCCATCTTAGGGGTCCAATAGATTATGTTCAGTCAAATATGAGTTTATAATAAAAGTCATTAAATACACTATCATGCATAAGAGCCAGCAGAAAGAGCAAACCACAGATACAGACTCATGTAAAATGTCAGCTATTAGAAGACATTTATTAAGGAAATACAAGATAATGTTGAAAAAAATCAAGTTCTCGGTTTTGAGACTGTCAGCAATGATAAGCTGAATTTGAAAATGGAGCAGGAACTTGTGGAAATGAAAAATATAATTATTAAAAAAAAAAACTCAGCAGATGGGTTAGAGAGCCAGTTAAAGCTGAAAAGAGAATTAGTAAAATACAGATGACATTGGAAGAAATCACTTAGAAAGCAGCACATAAGTCGAGGGAGATGAAAAATATAAAAGAGATTAACAGAGGCCAGCCGAGTGGCTCAGTTGGTTAAGAGCTTGCTCAAGAGTTTGAGCTCTGAGCAACAGCAGTTCGATGCCCAGCCCGAGCTGAGCTGCCAACATGTGGCAGGATGGCTCAGCTAAAAAATAAAAAATAAATAAAAAATAAAAAATAAAATAAATAAATAAAAAGAGATTAACAGACAGAGTAAGGAGTTAGAATAATGTCTACCTCTTCTACTCGGACTTCCTGGAAGAGAGACTAAACAGAATATTTGACAGGTAGTAGTCAGAGATATAGTAGCTGAGATTTTTTCTAGTACTGGTCAAAGAATGAATCAGTAGATTCAGGAAATTCACTGAATCCCAACCAGGATAAATAAAGTCACATCTAGATCCATCACGGTGAACTATAGAATACCAAAGGCAAAGAAAAGACCTTTAAATCAACCAGATGGAAAAGACAGACCATTTGTAGTGGCTGATAGTTTCCAAATTGTAAAAAATTATATTTGAATAACAAGAGTGAAATAAGGATATTTCAGATAAACAAAAACAGAATGCTTTAACCACCCCAACACTAATTATTACTGAAAAAACTTCTAGTGTGTCTTTCAAGATGAGAACAAACAAAGCCAAATTGATTCTCAGAGAAGACTAATTATATTGACAAATCTCTGGTGGAATGAATGAAGGAAAAAAGCAAAAAGCAAAATGAATAGTCTTAGGAATAAATAGGAATGACAGGACAGAAAGAGCAGATATTCAAAAGATCATAGAATGCAATTAACAGGGAATTTGAAAACTTTAAACAAAGTGGATACATTTCTAGGAAAATATAATTTACCAAAATTGTCTCCAGAAGTAGTAAACCTGAATAGCCCTTTAACTATTAAAAGTTAACCAGTAGAAAAATAAAAAGAAAAATTTAACTAGTAGTTTATATAAATGACAGGCCCTCATGGCCATACATGTGAATTCCAAGAAGCTTTCAAGAAACATGTTATTCAGATGATTCCAGAGACCAGAAGAAGAATTGAACACTCAAAAATTACTCTATGAAGCATGATACTTTTCATAAAGGGACAGAATGAGAAAGGAAAAATTATATACCAGTCTTTCTTATGTATATATAGATGCAAACATACGAAACAGAACATAATAAAACTATACCAACTTATAAACAAGTTGGGTTTCCAGGAACACAAGCTTGATTCAACATTAGGAGATTAATATAATTCATCATATTAACAGATGAAAAAGAAAGTATCATATAATCATCTCAGGAAATTCCAAAAACTCTTTAGCAATCATTCAGCATTCATTCATGCTAGAAACTCTTGGAAGATTTTTTGACTCATTAAAGGATAACAAAAACTCTACATAAAATATTTATACCAGGGGAAGTGAAAGTTCCTAGTTGTAATGGTGAAATAGAGGAAAAGCCTAAATGGCAATCAAAAGTAGAATAAATTAATAGTAATATATTCATAAAGGGTAGTAGTATACAATAGTGGAAATGAGTGAACTTCACATATGTCCTCATGAATATATAGCTGTAGCTCAAAAATAAGTATTAATTCAAATGTCTTAATATATAGTATAAAACTATTAATATAAATTTCTAAAACATAAATTTTAACTTAGCCTTTAGCAGTACATACATACGTAGTGAAAATATAAAAATCAGGGGAATATTAAATAAAAATTTGATGGTTAAATTTGTAGTGGGAAGACAAGGAATAAAATTGAAAAGGTCATTAAAAGTTATTATTAACATATTATTTCCTAAGCTGGATGGTATGTATGCTCACACCCACAGCCTTTTGTGCCTATGGAGTTTTTCATAATAAAACATTTGTAAAACTAAGACGATGGCTTCCTTGGTAAAGTTATATGCTATTGTTTTTTCA